TGAACATCTTTGAGACGTATCTGAACATCGCATTCACCAACCCATATACTATTTAGCATGTTTGAACTAATTACGAACCATATTCTCGACAAAGGGCTCAAATAATCGAAACAACTTCCGCATCTTGTAAAATTTATTCCACTTCGAGTTCAGACTATAAACACGATGAAAGATGGCTCGACCGTAAGATAGGTTGTGCTTCAATAAAGTTTGTTTGTTTGAAGTTAAACACAAAACTACACAATGAGCTATCTGTGCTCTGCCCATCACGGGTATCGTAACCCGGTTTCTAGCGTTTTAAGTGCCACTGAGGGGGGGGGGGACCAGTCAGTTCAGTCAAATACCACTTTCAATTATTGATCTATAAAAGAACGGAAAGTTTTTGGTCACCAAGTTTTGATTACCAAGTTCAAATGAAACACTTACTTTTTTTTTCAAATTTAAATGTTATTATACTAAAAACGAACACTATTCTCTGTAATCATTGCCCCCTCCAGTCGCACAGCGGTATGTCAGTGGACATACAACGCTAGAAACCGGGTTTCGATACCCGTGGTGAGCAGAGCACGGATAGCCCATTGTGTAGCTTTGTGCATAATTACAAACATACAAACAAACTGTAATCATTGCCAATAGTTGTCAGGGGTTGAAGTCCGGTAAGTGCGGTGAAAACTTTCAGAAAATACACAGCCAACTCAGCAACCACTCCAGAACTGAAGGATGTCATTGTGATAGAAATTCAGCCGATTATTGGGGATATGTTGCGTGCTGCAATAACCAATATAATTATCAGGGTTAAAGCAGTAACTAAAATTAATGTGGCAGCATTGAACAGTTGCTATAACGGCATTTCTAGAAACCACCGAAATATATATGTCCCATGTCTCTGTTTATCTATACGCAAAATATTTCGCCCGTATATCTTTCTCTCCTCTATTGTCTTGTAAATTAATAATAATGTCTATAAGTTTCCGAAAATCTGTGGCATAAGGTAACATCAAAGGGAACTGAACAAGTGCAGCCCAGTGGTCAGCGTACCGACTGTGGATATAATGTTCCTTGGTTCACGTTCTGGACTATTTAATGACATTCCGCAGTTTGCGTCCCGTTACCAAAAAAAAAAATACAAATAAAATAAAATAAATACTCGTACTCCGCACTTTATTGCTGTGGGTGCATTATAAAAGTGACTGTGAAATCCAATTGTTAAGTCTGACGAGAGTATCCCAAGAGTTGTCGGTTGGCAGTGTTCATTAACTGCCTTCGCTCTAGTCTATAGCCTCAAAATTGGGAAAGGCTAGGGCGGACAGCCCTCTCGTTGCGAAACTCAGCAACAACAAAAAAAAACATTTGCGACTATTTGAAGTATTTTTCATAAGTGTGCAGCAGCTCCTAATAAAGTAACTAGTCAGCTTACTTTAAAAGATTCAAAACCTTCAGATGCAGAGATAATATAGAATTGTTGAAAATTTTAAAGCTAAGCAGAACGTTGTTTTTTTTTCCAAGCAACATAAACACATTCTTTCATTTTATCTATTACCTAAAGACTGAACACAAAATTCGGTTTTGATATGTTTTACTGGTAACAAGGAGGATATTGAAATTTGAAATAACACAATTTTGTCTGCGTTTGATTCCAGCTTTTGCAAACAATGGTCGCCATGTAGCTACTTGTTATCATAATTATTTAGACATGAAACCGAAACAAATAAAGTTGTAACTTTCTATACTTCCTATTTACCAATTCGTCTATTCATTAACCGCATACTTGGAATATAGAAACAGAGTTCCACATCAATCAATGAGCTATTGATTAGTTACTTAAAATTACCTGAAATGAAACAAGTATGCACTCTGTAAAAATATAAAAATATTTTTCTAAAGCCAAATTAGTGCTTGAATAATTGTATCAATCCTATTACCTTGAAAAAATTATTGCAACGCGTTTGTAATATAAAACTTGCTCATGTTTCATATTTATAGCCTTCTTTTATCGGCAGAGCTCGATAAATGAACGGAGATTTTAACCTTTCCATCATATAGCTTGTAAATTTATTGTTTGATTTTCAAACAATGTAGTGGCTCAGGTAGCTCGTGTAGAACAGTTTTAACTACACCATCTTATAGTATAACTTTTTGTCTCTTCTAGTTATGGTACGGATTAGGTTTGACGTGATAAGTACAGAGCCTTGCAAAGCTATTAACCCTATACCAATAAGGTCATATTTTGAAGAAATACAAATAATGTAAACATTTTTTTTATCGAACTTGCTTTTATTAAAAACTCTAATGATCAAACTTAACACTGCTCTGTGTGACGGAGGTTAAATGTCAGCAAAACTTGCAAAGAAAATATATAAATACAAATTTGTTGATTGCATAAGGGTTCATCACCCTAAATCATTACTTGGTGGAAGCAACTTTGACAGCAATTCTGCTGTGAGTCTTTTTAGATGGGTCTCTACCAGCTTTACACAATGGGATGGTGTAATGTTTTCCCTTTCTTCCTGGCGTCATGTTTTGGCGCGTCGCGTTGGTTATACTTATAGGTGTGTGGAGAGATTCTAGAAATTTCAGTTTCACGTAAC